GTGAAATGGAACAGCCACATCCCTCACTGCAAAGGGCCAGGTAGAATCAAGTTGCTCAGCCAGTCTCCTCAAACCTTCAGTAAGCCTGGCTCAGCTTCCCATTAGCCTCAGAGGCAGAGGGGAGGGTCAAGTGTCTTCAAAGGCCTTCATGCCTCGAGCAGCAGGCCACCACACAGCTGTCCAGAGGTGCCCTGGGCCTCATGATGAACAGGACTCTTGCTCTACAACAGCAACTCTAGAGGCTAGAAAATAGTTGCTTGATTTTCAGAGCCACAGACGCCACAGAAAAGGCACACATGTCTGGAGTGCAGATTTGGTTCAAGACAGTGGTCTCTAACAGCACTGATTTGAGAAATCCCTGCCCTCTCCCCCACAGGCTGGTACTCCAGAGAGTTACAATTTTTCCTGACCATCTAGCATAGGCCTCTTCCCAAACTCCCCATCCTATGGTTCAGGTACAAAGCCTTCACTAATGACTATCCCTGGGCTTGAGATTGCCTCCTTTTCTGATCATGGGCTCACTCACGCGGCAGACTGCCTGCAACTCTTCCTCCCTGAGAGCTCTGGGACAGGCAGCCACCGGCTCGAGAGGAGGATCGGGGTTGCTGAGGGCCGCCTGCTTATCTGCCCCTCGGATGAGCTCCAAGCACACCTCATGCTGAACCGCATACTGAAAACAGAACAACGACTCATCTCTTGTACCTGACTTTGCCCGGTTAAAATGCCTCCTAGATCTGCAGCCTTGTTCAAACCCTGGCTCTGCCACCTATGGCCTGTGACTTGGGTAATTTCTCTGTGCCTCAGTTTCCCTGCCTCTGCGATGAAGACATTATGTCCTACACAGCAGATGTATTGTGAGATTGGAAAAGCCGTTGTAAATGGCCTGCATGCAATGTTAAAATGATGGAGAAGCTTCCTGCTGGCTGGCTACCTGTTTTCTCATTCCCCACGTGGTGTGCCCAAAGAGCAGCCCTCTGCCATGTGGACCAGTCACTCACCTGCCCATCCCAGGACCCCTGTCCCCATACACTGGCTGTTCATCTCCTGCCATGGTGCTACCCAGAACTCGGAGGTCCTAACTTCAGCTCTAAAGTTCTCCTGTGGCAGACAGACCTCCCGCAGTGTGTAAACACACTTCACTTTTTTATGGCTCTGCAGGGCTCTCAGCATAAACCATCATCTCGGGTCCACAAGAAGTGGGGGCTGGGACAGAGGCAGACCTAACCTACCACGGCAAAGCCACGGCAGATGGAGGGCTAGCCGAGTGGGCAGCCACACTGCTGGTGGCTCCCAAGCTAGGTCACAGGTCACTGAAGGCTTCCTGCTGTCCCCTCCAGCTGTCCCCATTGCATACAGAACACCAGGCAGGGTACATCTGCCTCTCCTCACCCACCTCCTTGCGTCCCCTGAGTTCCTGCGACATTGTGAGGGTCTCTCGTGGGGTTCCCACCTCCACTCCACCTGGCTTCACTCTGTGCTCTGCGCAGGCCCCTGGGGTGGTCTTTCACAGCCCAGTCTCAGCTTGTCGGAAAGCCGCTCCCCCGCCCTGTGAACTCAGAGCCGCTCTAAGGGTAAGCCCCACAGGCCAGGCCCGCAGGGCCCTCCTCTGACTTTGGCTTCTGGTCTCAGAGAGCCTGGCTCTGCCACCTTGGTGAGCTTTCCTTTCTGTTGACCGTTGAAGTCATGGCTCTGAAGTCCCCCAGCTTGGCCAGGCCCAGACTCATTCAACGACAAATACAGAAAAGCTCTCCTGTGTACCAGGCTTTGCTCCCAGCTTTCGGGAATCCTGAGCACAGTGGCAGAAAAAGTTCCAAAGTCCCTATGCAGGACCATCGAAAAGATGGAGCAGGGGGCTGGGCAGGGCAGGGCAGGGATGGGCAGGGGGCTGGGCAGGGCAGGGATGGGCAGGGGGCTGGGCAGGGCAGGGCAGGGATGGGCAGGGGGCGGGCTGGGCAGGGCAGGGATGGCAGACAACCCAAGCTGGGTTCGCTGTTCTGTCCTGACTGATGGCAGAACCCCAGGCAGAGCTCTCCCTAAGAGGTAACAAGAAGGACCCAGGCCAGCCAGTGAGATGCTTTGGGGGCTAAAATCTCGTGCTCCCAAGCCTGGCAACCTGGGTCCATCCCCAGGACCCATGTTATGAAGGCAGAGAGCCAGCGCTGCAAGCTGTCCTGTGAGCTCTGCCTTTGCATTATGGGTCTCTTCTGTATCCCAGGCTGCCATTCAACTCACCATACGACTAACAAGGTTGGCTCTGAACTCCTGATCCTGCTGGGTCAGCCTACAAATACAGGATTACAGGCACGCACCAACACACTAGCACACAGCTTTGCATATGTGGATGGATCATCGCTGGTGCCCCGTCAGGGTGTTAGAATCACAAGGCCTAAGGCAGGCCAGTTGGGAGCGCTAGGCTGGCCTGAGATATATAGCGATAGCCTATCTTAAAGCAAGCAGACACAAAAGGGGCACTTGGGCTGTAGCTCAGTTGATGAGCATTTGCCTAACATCAAGCCCTGGGTTTGGTTCCCACCCCCAATTAAACTAGGCGTGGTGGCTCACACCCGTGATCCCAGCACTCAGAAGGTAGAGACAGGAAGATCACAAGTTCAAGGTCATCCTCGCCTACATAGGGAGTTGGAGGTCGGCCTGGGCTTCATGAGGTCCTGTTAACAAGCAGAACTGTCCCGTGCCTGCTTGCTGACGGTCGAATGGCAGCAGGAGCCTGGTCTGTCTCCATCGCTGTGCACACCTAGTGGCCAGGAGCTGAGTGAGGGCTGCGTACGCACGGGAAGGGTAAAAGATATTCGCGCTATTTTATACAGAACATAGGGAAATGCAAACCCTGCCTGACAAGAAAATACAGAACATAGGGAAATATACAGAACATAGGGAAATGCAAACCCTGCCTGACAAGAAAATACAGAACATAGGGAAATATACAGAACATAGGGAAATGCAAACCCTGCCTGACAAGAAAATACAGAACATAGGGAAATATACAGAACATAGGGAAATGCAAACCCTGCCTGACAAGAAAATACAGAACATAGGGAAATATACAGAACATAGGGAAATGCAAACCCTGCCTGACAAGAAAACGTTAAAAAGTCTTCAGCAGCAAAGGGTCTCTTGATTCTGTCTATACATTTTCTCTCTTTCTCATTTGGAGCAGGGGTCCTGCCCAGGTGTCCCCTTTCCTTGTGGACTTCTAGGCCCCCATGATGATGCTGAGAGGCAAGGACTGACCCCCTCTGTGTACACAGAGAGACGGGTGTGGGGAAGCTGTCACCACTTGACCCCTGTGTACACAGAGAGACGGGCGTGGGGAAGCTGTCACCACTTGACCGCTGTGTACACAGAGAGACGGGTGTGGGGAAGTTGTCACCACTTGACCCTTGTGTACACAGAGAGACAGGCGTGGGGAAGCTGTCACCACTGGCCTTGAGGTTGCAGAGCTTGTGGGTGGAGCCCCCCAACCTCCCAAATCTCACAGCAGCAGCTGCACCCCAGAAAATGCCCCCATCCAAGAGCTCTGAGCTGTGGCCTGTGGGGGAGGGAGTGTCACTGAAGTCTCTGTGTTGTCTTTTTACTATAAAAAGGGGACAGTGACATCCTGGCCATCCTATAGGACTCAGAGCGATGACACACATAGAGATGGGTTTAGAAACTGTGAAGAATTATACGCACGCAAACTACCATCGCATCCTGCATGGAACATGCTGGCAAGGGCTCACAGGAGCGATACCATCTGCCTGCAAATGATGGGCGGAGGAAGAACTAATCTTTATCCAATTATCTTCCCGGAAAGACCCACCGCCTCCTCCAGCTTCTAGTTTCCTCCTAATTAGTGGTAAGAACAGGCCTTGCTTCCACAGGCCCTAGGCTGTTATTCACCAAGTGTTGCTTCCTGTTGTAGTATGCTAATACACTGGTGATTAGAAGCTTCAGCGCTGTTTAATAACTGTGTTGGGTTCAGGGAGGATAATTGCCTGTCGCTCCTCCCACAGCTCTGGAGTCTAGGCATCTAGGGAGGTAAATGACATAGCAATGCCAGCCGCCTCCCTCCTGGGTGCTGGCCTCTCCCGGCCACCTCCCTCAGAGGGCTGCCAGTCTTTGCTTCCCCCGCCTCTTTTTGTTCCATTGTTTGTCTGAGACAAGTCTCCGGTAGCCCAGGCTGGCATTAAGCTTGCTGTGTAGCTGAGGATGACCTTGAACTCGTGCCTTCCTGCTTTCCACCCATGTGATTACAGGTGTGCGCCACCGTGCTTGGTGTAGACAATGCTGGAAATCAAACCCAGGGCTCCAGGGATCCAGACACGCTAAATATATACTAGCTGAGTCCCTCCCATCCTTGTTTTACTTATTTTTATTTTATTTATGGGACCCAGGTGTGGTGCATGCTGGGTAAGCACTCTACCCTGAGCCATGCCCCCCCACACCCTTTAGAAAGGGCTGTATCCCCCAGTTTTGTGAGTGAGACTTTAGTGCCTGTGGCACTGCAGGCTGGACACTCCTTCACAGAAGCATCCCAGCTACTGCCGCTGGTCAGCTTATTTCCACAGCCACCCCCCACTGGGGATCACTGAGATGAACCCTGAAAGGTCTTAGAGAATTTGCTAGCCGCGTCTCCCACGCATCCCTGCAGCAACGGTACCCACGGGTGCAAAGTCCTAAGGCAGCCATGCGCAGAGACAGAACAACTCTCAAGCAAAACAGCCAATGTGAAAAATGTTTCCAACAATGAATAAGAGAGCTGAGCATGGTGGCACACTCCTGTAATCCCAGCACTTGGGAGGTAGAGGCAGGAGAATCAGCTCAGGATCAGCCTCGGCTACATTTTGAATTCAAGGACAACCTGGGCTACATGAGACCCTGTCTCAATTTTTACCTCTTTTTGTAAGTGAAAATCTAAGACGGTATAAATAGGAAACTATCGGCGTTCCTCTTTGATTATAGATGTACATACATGTGCGTGCACACACGTGCGTATGACTCACCTGCTAGAGCATCCCCTGCATGAAAGCTGCTGTTACAACCACAGAGGACTGGCAGCTTACAAAGACCAGAATTTGTTTCTTTTTCTTTCTCCCTTTTGTTCATGTTTGCCTTCTTTTTTTCCCCTCCTTTTTAAAAAATTTTAAGTTAGAAACAAGCTTGTTTCACATGTCAATCCCAGCTCCCTCCCCTCCTCCCCATCCCTCCCCGCCCCTCCCCATCAGGCCCCCCCAGTCCCCCACTCAATCCACTCCGATCCCCAGGGAGGGTGAGGCGCTCCATGGTGGATCTCCAGAGTCTGTCACATCATCCAGGGTAAGGCCTAGGCCCTCCTTCAAGAGTCCCGGCTGAGAGAGCATCCCTCATTGTGGCATGGACACTCAAAGTCTATTAGTACGCCAGGGATAAATACTACCAAAGGCCCCATAGATTACCTAGGCCTCCTCACTGACACCCACATTCAGGGGGTCTGGGTCAGTCCCATGCTTTCCACACAGCCATCAATCTGGGGTCCAAGAGCTCCCCCTTGTTCAGGTCAACTGTTTCTGTGGGTTAAGCCAGCCCACTCATAACTCCTTTGCCCATCAGTTCTCTCTTTCTGACACTGGATTCCAGTTCAGTTCAGTGTTTGTCTGTGGATATCTGCCTCTGCTTTCATCAGTCGCTGGTTTCATCTGTTTCCCAGACTCTGGCAATGGGGTTGTATGCTGGTACTCCCCTGATTCATGTCTAAAATCTACAAATGAGTGAGTACATACCATGTTTCTCTTTTTGAGACTGGGTTACCTCAATCAGGATGGTTTCTTCTAGTGCCATCCATTTGCCTGCAAATTTCAAGATTCCATTGTTATTTTTCCCGCTGAGTAGTACTCCATTGTGTAAATGTACCACAATTTCTCTATCCACTCTTCAGTTGAGGGGCATCTAGGTTGCTTCCAGGTCCTGGCTATTACAAACAATGCTGCTATGAACGTAGTGGAACAGATCTCCTTGTTGTATGAATTTGCATCTTTTGGGTATATGCCTAAGAGTGGAGTTGCTGGGTCTTGTGGTAGACTGATTCCCATTTTCCTGAGGTATCTCCATACTGATTTCCAAAGTGGCTGTACAAGTTGGCACTCCCACCAGCAGTGAAGGAGTGTTCCGCTTTCTCCACATCCTCTCGAGCATAAACTGTCGTTGGAGTTTTTGACTTTAGCCAAAAAACAGAAATTTATTCCTCGAGGTTCAAGACACAGGCGCAGACGGGCACGGTGTCTGGAGAGGCTGGTGTTCTAGTTCCTCAATGTCTTTTTCTTCTGCCCTCACAGGGCAGAAGGGGGCACCCCTCTTTTCCAAGCACACCTATTCCTCTCAAACTGAAGGGAGTTCAGCCACAGGGCCTGAGCACCCCAGAGTCCCCTCCCTTGGAGCTTTGCCTTGGTGGCTTATGTCTCCATGTATGAAGTTGGAGGGATAGGGACATCCCCAGAAGGGAGTGACCAGGAGTAGGGCATCAGCGTGAGGGACACTTACCATGCTGACTTCCATGTGTTTTGTTCTGTGGACATGTGTGATTTAAAGAGTCAACATAGAACCAGGCTCTGTGGCACAGGTGTAGTCTCAGCCCCTGGGAGGTGGAGACAGAGGAACCAGAAGTTCAAGGTCATTCTGGGCTACCTAGTGAATTTAAGACGAGCCTGGGCTACATGATTCTCTGTCTCAAGAAAATAAAAAGAGTAAATATAATTTTTCAAATGAGCCTTTGGGCTAGAGAGCTGGTTTAACAGTTAGGAGAGCTTGATACTCTTCAGAGCATCAGAGTTCAGTTCTCAGCACCAAATTTGGGCAACAGACAACCATCTGTGCTTTTAGTTACAGGAAAACCCATACTGATAGTCTCTTCTGGACTCTGAGGGCAACTACATACACTCACATTGATATTTTAAAAATTAAATAAAAGTTAAACTAAATTTAAAAACAAAATGAACATTTAGCTCATGGGCTGGCTGGGATAGTTTCAGTAAAGCCTGCCTCCCTCTGTCTGCGCCCTCCAGGTAGGATGCCCGATACATCCCTCTCTGTCCCTGCCCACCGTCACTATCAGGGCCTCCCACCTTGAGTAGTCTGCAGATCCCTGCCGCCTGACATCCTCTTTCCAAGGCCCCGCTATCTTTGTGTTTCATATACAGAAATTGGGGTTCCTGGCTCAAGAATGCCAGACACCTAGTGGTGAGATGACTCTCAGGCCCTTTGTGACATTTCACAGCCTGGCCAGACTCAAGAGCTGAAATCTGAGCTCCAGATGTGCCCAGATAAGCCGGAGCAGGATCCCACTGGTGGTTTTGAACAGTGAATTCGCTCAGCAATGAGCCCCCTTCAGAGTCCAAACCCAGCTCTCCTAAAAAGAGGTTTGGAGGATGTCGCTCTTCTCCGGCCTCTTCTGACATACACAGCTAAATCCTGCCTCACACACAGGTCAGAGGGTGGATCCCAAACGAGACTCTGAAAAGAGTCACTTCCTCTTTAATAGCGTCCATCTCACTTGTCAAGGACTTACTCAACTGAGTGTAAATCCACTGCCTCCCTAGTGTGCACAGGGTAACCTCTGAGCACTACAACCATCATCAGGGCAGATGTTCTGCTTGCTAGAGACCGTTGAGATGGGTTTTGCTGTCTGATGAAATCCCCCATAGGAGGGTGTGGATAAGGTCACTGGACCCTCACCGGAGATGTAGTGTCTCCCCTTGTACCACCCAGCCAGTTGTATATAACCCTGTCCTGACTGCACATGGCCTTGTGGTCACAGGAAGTCTAGAGTATGTACACTGTGGAAGGTCAGCTGAGCTGGGGACTCCATCTTTGCAGTCATCGGGATGTCATCATCCATGCTGGAGTGACCTTTCAGCGGTGGGGTTGCTCTGGTGTCACCCATGCTCCTGTCAGCAACCCTTCACCTGTCTCTGTAAGACCAATGAACTCGCGGCTCTGCCAAGCTAGACTTTGGGGGAACTGTACTCTGGCTTGTCATTGGGGCCCTATAAAGTTGGGGGGAACGTCTGAGAGCCTTCTCTTGGGCTGCACAGAGAGAGGCGTGGGTTCCACCCGCTATTTGGATTTAGTCAAGGGGGGAAAGCAGCTCCATGCTTCAAGAGGCAGAAAGGAAGGAACAACAGACTCCCTGAAGCTGTGAGGACAGAGCTCTAACTGCCAGCCTTGAGAGCAGAAAACACCTGCCCCTCTCTGCCCCCTCCTGTCATGTTGTGATGCATGTGAATGTCCCCAAGGGTCCCGTGGTCCCCAGGGTGGTGCTTTAGGAGGTGCTGTGCAGTCTATGGGAGAACAACATTGGTAGCACACTTGCTTAACGTGTACACAGCACTGGGGTGGATCCCACCACCAAGTGCCACAAAACGAGTCAGATAAAGCTGACTTTCCCCAGCCAGTGGTTATGTGATGAAACAGAGCTGATCTCTCTGGCTTCCTCAGTGTGGATGCAGGTGACGAGCGTGGCGACATCATGGTTCATCAACGGCTTGCCACCCTCGATCCGCCTGCTTTACACACATCTGCTCCATCTGCAGAAGCTCTGGGATCTGAACGACACTATCAGATCCTTTTTCAGATGGGGCGCTAGGGACCAGAAAGCTGACACACCTTGTCCAAGGACACACGGCTGAAAAGCAACAAAACTGGGCTCTTTAGCCCTCCTGGCCACACCTGTCACAGCTGCAGACTAGAAAGTCCTGGGAAACTCTGAATCACGGGGTTTGAAGAGACCTAAGGGTCATTATTGCCAGTCTACGTGGAAGGTTATGTGACACCTATGACAGAGAGGACACCACCTCAGGGGACAAGGAGATATGAGGTGGAGGCCTTGCTGGGAGTTCCATCTTCCCACTCCACAGAGGCCCAAATTCCCACACACAGTCCCTTGATGGATCCATTGTCACAGGGTCCCCACAGCCCAACCCATGCCAATCACCGTGGGCACCCACAATGGGGACCTTAACTCAAGAACACAAACGCCTCTTCACCCACAGGCAGGAGTAACGCCTTAAATGTTCCCCATTCCAGTGGGTCTCAGGATTGATGCAGTTTCTTTCTCTGTTCTCTCCCTTTTTTCTAATCCTACATAACTACCTTTCTTCAATCATCCTGGCAGAACAGGCATTTTTCCACCTGACACTGAATCTTAAAAACAAACAGACAAGCAAACATGGGGTGGGAAATGAATAAGTTGTATTTGCAATACCCAGAGAGAAATAATGTCTTGTTTGGCCCCAGAAGGAAGATGAGCAGAAGGGAAGAGGCTGGCTGTACTCAGGGTCCCCTGGAAGAGCCTATAATAGTTACAAAGTAAAAGTCAAAGGGTGGGACGGGGCAGGGTCTCCCCAAAGCCTCTGCACCCTCCCCCATCTCCCCAGCTGTCCCTGGGTTATTCCCTGACAAACCCCACTGTTCAGGCACTCTCCACCAGCATGGTCATTGCTATGCAGGTCTTCATTGGCAAATGATGAAAATGTCCAGAATCCACGGGAAGCAGAAGAAGAAGCAAATGAATCTATCCTGGCAGAGCTGGCACTTGGAGCTGAATCTCAATGGGAAGAGATTTGCAAAGCTGGGCAGCCAGGAGAAGCTGGGAGAGAGGGGGTTGTAAGGTACCCAGGAGATGGCACATTCCCGCACGCTCTACGGACCGTGAGCGGGTCAAGTAAGAAAATGCCAGGTTAAGAAAGAAAACTCCTCCTCACACCAGCATCCCTGCGCCATGAGGCTTGAAGCAGGGTCTGGCCATTTTGGTTCCATCCAGCTCACTGCCATAACCACTTCTTGCAAATGTCGCACTGTCTTGGTCATGTTCACAACAACCCCGAGTTGTCTTACCAATAAGGAAACTGAGACACATAGAAATGCATTGCTCACCCAGACCACTAAAAGAAGGGCTGGCCCTGGCTCCGGAATGATCATTACAGCAGCCTGGGGCCCCACTCTCCTGAGTCCCTATAGCTAATGTGTGACTCCTCTACCCCTTATGAAATCACAATCATCCCCTTCATGTGTGTGTATGTGTGTGTGCAGTGTGCGTGCATGTTTCTGCACATGTGTAGGTCATGTGACTGTACTGTGCATGTGACAGCCCCAAGTTGATGTTGGGAGTCATTCTGTCTCTTTATGAGACTGTGTAGCTCAGTCACACCCAGAGCTCCATACAGCTAGTCTTGGCTACCAGCTAGCTCTGGGGACCTCCCATCTCTGCTCTGTGAGGCTGGATTTACAGGCAGGCCACCATGCCCATATGGCATTTATGTGGGTTCTGGGGATCCGAACTCTTGTCCTCATACTTGCCTGTCTAGTACCTTAGCCACCAAACCATCTCCCCAGCCCTGAAACCATAAAGTTTTGAACCCAGATGGTCCCTAGAGACATCCTTGATCTCTCAGGTGGAACCAAACCCTAGGAGCAGGAGGAAGCCCATTTGAGTTCACAGAAGACGCTGTGTCCCTCTGAACACTGGGCCAGCATCTCCTACTCAGTTGTCCACAGAGTGGCTGGTAGGACTCCTACCCTACCCAGTGCATCTGCAGCCGCCCAGGGTCCTGCCCTGGGGAATACTGGCTGAGACAATGGACTTCTAGGCCATCACAGGACCCTTTCAGTATCCAAGGACCCTGCAGTTACAGGGTAAGCCCCCAAAGCTTCTGGGACTGAACCACACGAGCTGGAGGACCGCATCCCTACACGTAGGTCAATTCCAAGCTCCCGCTTTGATTTTCAGTTTGACTCACTGTGAAGCTGCCTCATAGTAACGTGTCAACCGCCAACCCAGTCTATACCCAGCCCAGAGATGGCCTGAAGTCCTTGCAAGGCTCCTCTCCTCATTCAAAAATGAAAGAAAGAAAACAGTTTTTCCCTTTTCCCTGTTCAGATGGGAGAGAGTAATTGTCCCCAACTCTCGGGGTTGCAGTGAGCATGAAGTCAGTAATGTCTCCAAAGATGGCCAGCACGCTAGACCCCTGCAGGAACTGGGTGTTGTTGTAACTGGGCTGTTGCACAGCAGTGTCCTGACCACTGCTGGAGAAGCACAGGCTACAGGTTGGGCTGTATACCCCAGCCCCCAGCTGAGCAGGAGCACGGTTCTTGGGAGGATGCCCTGGCTTTGTGGGCACGACAATCCCAACTGTGCTGCCCCAGGATGTGTGTCCAAGTGCCCGCAAGCCTATCTAATCAGCACGGTGTGCCCACCTACGACAAAGGGTCACTCATTTCCCCACCTCATCTTACAAGTTCAAGGAGGGAATTCATGGCCAAGTTAAGCTCCTCGTCCAAGGCCAACAGCTGAGGAGTTGCTGAGATGGGATTTGAACCCAGCCAGACTGACTTCAGACAGCAGGTGGATAACCATTGTGCAACACTGCCTGCCAAACCTGGAGGAAACCTGTCTTAGAAAACTATGGCATTGCCTCACAAGCCTGCCCCAGCCAGTCCCACCACACCTGTTGCCTGCTTCCCGTAGATCTATTTTTTCCCTCTTTATGTTCATTATTTTCTTTCTTCATTTTTATTCTTTTAGAAAAAGGAATTAGTCCTGAATGAAACCAAGTTACAGACTTGTCCACGGTTGAGAGC